TATTATTAACATGCTTCACTTTACAGCTGAAGATGGGGCTCAACATACTTTACATACATGCACAAAAGCTCATACCAAAACACAGACATATTAAAATACATGACACAAAATGTAAACAACAACAACAACAACAATTCCAGTTGACTCATGGCCCTCATGGGAATTGGAATGATAGTGACGATAATGATATATTGATTACCCACTTCTCTTTATGGCTCGAGGTATCAAAATACGTAAAGCGCATACTAAAAACATACACAGATGGCAATATAGGGCCCAAAATGAAAAAGAGAATGCAAATGGAATGCAACGTTGCAGACCTTATCCAACGCTACGAAGATCCATCTCCACTGCAGAATGAATGCAGGTTGACCTCAAAGTGGGGTGGAACTGACCCTTAGAGTCCAAGCGGGGATCAGGCTGCATTGATGCCCAGCGGAGAGGGAGCCCCACTGAGATCCCGTTGCAAATCCCTGTTGCAGAGGCTGCTACGCCTTGCAATGGATGGCCAAGAGCGGAGGCGCGGCTGGGCTGGCTTACCCGAGAGCGGCATGCAGGTCTCGTTCTGGACGCACCACCCGAAGGGCCCCGGGGCGCGGGGCAAGGAGGCGTTGGCCCCCCCAAAGGCCAGGCAGGACTGGCAGTCCGTCAGCAGCCGTGCCAGGCCCAGGCAGCCCAGGTTGGGGCACTGCGGGGGGGGGGGGATAAACAAACAAACAAACAAACAACGTGGGTGATCACATGACGCTGGAGGACCCAAAGAGTCCCCCCATTGGTTATCAATGGAGATTGAGCGGAGCCGATGGCCAGTTGGGTGCTACACCTGACAATAACGTTTGTTGTTCATTCGTTCAGTCGTCTCCGACTCTTCGTGACCTCATGGACCAGCCCACGCCAGAGCTCCCTGTCGGCCGTCACCACCCCCAGCTCCTTCAAGGTCAGTCCAGTCACTTCAAGGATGCCATCCATCCATCTTGCCATTGGTCGGCCCCTCTTCCTTTTGCCTTCCACTTTCCCCAGCATCATTGTCTTCTCTAGGTGACTCATGGACCAGCCCACGGCAGAGCTCCCTGTTGGCCGTCACCACCCCCAGCTCCTTCAAGGTCAAGCCAGTCACTTCAAAGATCCCATCCATCCATCTTGCCCTTGGTCGGCCCCTCTTCCTTTTGCCTTCCATTTTCCCCAGCATCATTCCCTTCTCTAGGTGACCTCATGGACCAGCTCACGCCAGAGCTCCCTGTCGGCCGTCACCACCCCCAGCTCCTTCAAGGTCAGTCTAGTCACTTCAAGGATGCCATCCATCCACCTTGCCCTTGGTCGGCCCCTCTTCCTTTTTCCTTCCACTTTCCCCAGCATCATTGTCTTCTCTAGGTGATCTCATGGACCATCCCAGGCCAGAGCTCCCTGTTGGCCGTCACCACCCCAGCTCCTTCAAGGTCAAGCCAGTCACTTCAAGGATGCCATCCATCCACCTTGCCCTTGGTCGGCCCCTCTTCCTTTTGCCTTCCACTTTCCCCAGCATCATTGTCTTCTCTAGGCTTTGCTGTCTCCTCATGATGTGGCCAAAGTAACGTTATTCTATTCTATTCAATAACGTTATTCTATTCTACTGTATGGCCAGTTTGAGGTCCCGGGGCATCACGTTGTTCAGGAAGACCTCACCTGACAATATCCAAGTGTCTGCATTTTGTCCACCTTGCTTTACTTTCTAACTAGCTGTACCCGTCACACATTGCTGTGGCCAACCTCCCCCCCCCCGCCCTTTTCTTATATTCTTATATTCTATTAAATTTTATTATTTTATTTTTCTTAAATTATTACTATTATTTTATATGTATTGTCGAAGGCTTTCCTGGCCGGAATCACTGGGTTGTTGTAGGTTTTTTCTGGCTATATGGCCATGTTCTAGAGGCATTCTTCTCCTGACGTTTCGCCTGCATCTATGGCAAGCATCCTCAGAGATAGTGAGGTCTGTTGGAAGTAGGAAAAAGGGTTTATATATCTGTGGAACGACCAAAGTTTGGCCTTTTAAGTCCCTTCCGCTGTGTTTTTCAGTGTTTTTATGAGTGATGGTCACTCGTTGGCCTGAGAGGGGTCTTGTGTCCAAATTGGGTGTCAATTCCCCCAGTGGTTTTTGACTTCTGTTAATCCCACAAACAAACATTACATTTATATATATATATATAGGTGGGTTGCATTGGCATCATTTGGACTATTTGTGTGGACACACAAATAGGCCAAACAAACCTGAAACCTGAAAGTCCATGAAATGCTTGTCATTTGGCTCAAATGTCAGCTGCCTCCACCTTATCGCAGAGTAATGTGTAAATGTATGCATGCATGTATGTTTGCATGCTTGCACACAGGGAACTACTAACGATGCTGCAGGGTTGTGTGCTCTGGCCAAATATATGCATGTATGTATATATGTGTTGGAGTTCAGCCTGTGATTGTGTTTCAGGATCAGGGTGCTTTGGATGTGGGAAGTGATGCCAATGAATTTCAAGAGGGCAATGGTTTGGTCAATGATGCTGATGCAGAGAAGGACCAGGAGACCCCTGTGCCAAGTGTAGTTTCCCATGAGAATGTCCCTGAAGGGTGTGGGGATGATAGTGTACTCCCTGAATTGCTACCAGAGAGTTCCCAGGATTTGGGGCTTGAAAACAACTGGGCACCTGGCCCAGATGCAAAACTTAATGTGCAAATAGATAGGTGAGAGGAAATTAGTCAAAACACACAGGTCGAACAGTGCCTTTGGCGTTCTGCCAGGCTCCGAGAGAAAAAGATAAGCGAAACCAATTCCTGAGTGCGTGGAATAGCTTAACAAGGGGATAAAAGTTTCAAATATGGGAAATATAGTCAGATGAAGCAACGTTGGAATCAAGTGTAGTTCTCGTTCTTTGTTTCATGGAAGCTTTGCTTTGGAAGATTCTTGTCTAAGTATTTCTTGTTCATGGTTTGGATTCTTGGATTGTATGAATGGCTACTCATGCCTTGGATTAATATTTCCTGTTTTCCTGAAGTGTGGACTTCGTTTTTATGGACTTTGCTGAGCTTTACACTAGACTATTTTTGCTCCTGCTTATCTTCTTACCTAATTGGATTTACCCGTTTCTTTAAAGTGCTTTTTACTTGCTGCTTTTTAATTATCTTCAATAAAAAGGATTGTTTTCCCACCAACAGTGTGGTGTTTACAGTCAGAGGGCTTTTCCTGTCCTGGAGTGCAACACCAGTATGTTTGCGTGCATGAGCACATGGAACTACTCACGATGCTGCGGGGCTGCGTGCTCTGGCACACTCGCATGCACCAGGCGCACTCGGGGTCCTTGGAACACGTCGTTTGCTCGGTGTAAATGGAGCAGTAATCCAAATGGTACTACAGGGAGGAAGAGAGAGCGGAAAAGCTGTAGGCCAGTCCTAGAGAGGGCAGATCTCTAGGCATTTGCAACGGTCTTCCAATGCAACTCGCATGCCACAGAAACAGGGCTGCAAACACTTTCTTCAACTTGCAATTCCTCTTTAATTACTATTACTATTATTATTATTTAGCCTTCTCTGCCAATAATAACAACAAACATACAAATCAAGGGGAATCGATGCACGGAGGAGTTGGCCAGGTACCTCTCCTCCTCCCGCTCTGCTCTTACATTCCACCTTTACCTGTCCTCCTCCTGTTCTTTCTCCCTCCTTCTTTTGGGACCCCAACGTTGGACTAAGGTGGGGTCCCCAAACTACAGTCCACGGGTCGAATCTGGGCCAAAAAGGTCATTTGCTCACCCTAAACGCTAGACTCACCGCTATCGCTGCCACCATCATTTGCACCCCACTGCTAGCCTCTTCTTGCTCCTTAACTCTCGTTTCTTTCCTTTCCTCTCCCTATCTTCCCCCGAAATGGAGGGATCTTCTGCACCCCATTCTTGCTCATTCCAAAATGAAGGGAGGGAGGAAGGGTGAAAGAAAGAAAGAAAGAAAGAAAGAAAGAAAGAAAGAAAGAAAGAAAGAAAAGGAGGAGAAAAGAGAGGAAAGAGAGAAGAAAGGAAGGAAGAGGAAAGGAGGGAGGAAGGAAGAAAAGAAAGAAAGGAAAGGAAGGAAGGAAGGAAGGAAGGAAGGAAGGAAGGAAGGAAGGGGAAGAAGGGAAGAGAGGGGGAAGGGAAGGAGAGAAGAAAGAAAAAGAGAAGGAGAAAGAGAAGAGAATTGAAGAAAGGAGAAAGGGAAGAAAAAGAACAAAGAAGGAATGAAAAAAGGAAGGAAGGAGGTATAAAGAAACAAAAGAAGGTGGAAGAAAGAAAAGAATGAAAAGAATGAGAAGAAAAAAAGAAAGGAGAAGTGAAGGAAAAGAACAAAGAAAGAAAGAAAAAAGTGAGGGAAGAAACAAAGGGAAGGAAGAGAAAAAAAGAAAGTAAGAAAGAAAGGAGAAAGGGGAAAAAGAACAAAGAAAGAAAGAAAAAGTGAGAGAGGAAACAAAAAGAAGGAAGGAAGGAAGGGAGGGAGGTGGGAAAAAGAAGAAAGAGAAGCAAGCAAGCAAGCAAGCAAGCAAGCAAGCAAGCAAGCAAGCAAGAAAGAAAGAAAGAAAGAAAGGAGAAAGTGGAAAAGAACAAATAATGAAAGAAGTGAGGGAAGAAACAAAGGGAAGGAAGAGAAAAAAAAAAAAGTAAGAAAGAAAGGAGAAAGGGGGGGAAAGAACAAAGAAAGAAAGAAAAAGTGAGGAGGAAACAAAAGAAGGAAGGAAGGAAGGAAAGAAAAGAAGAAAGAGGAAGAGAAGAAAGAAAGAAAAAAAGAAAGAAAGAAAGAAAGAAAGGAGAAAGTGAAAAAAAAAGAACAAATAAAGAAAAGTGAGGGAGGAAACAAAGGGAAGGAAGAGAAGAAAGAAACGAAAAAAGGAGGGAAGGAAGGAAGGGAGAGAGGGAAGCGGAAGAAAGAAAAGTGAGAAGAAAGAAGAAAGCGAAGGAAAAGAAAGAAAAGGAGGAAGGAAACAAGGGAAGAAGAAAAAAAAGAAAAAAGAAAGGGAGAAAAGGGAAAAAAGAACAAACAAAGATAAAGTGAGAGAGGAAACAAAGGGAAGGAAGAGAAGAAAGGAAAGAAGGAAGAAAAAAAGGTGGGAGAAAGAGAATGAGAAGAAAGAAAGGGAGGTAGAAGAAAGGGAAGCATTAGAAGAAAGGAAGACAGAAAGGTAGTTGGGGGAAAAGAGAGGGAAGGAGAAAAGGAAGGAAGGAAGGAAGGTGGTGTCTCACCATCTGGGAGGGCACCTGGAAGACGAAGGTGGGCACCTTGTAGGCCAGGAGGTCTCCGCGTGGGACCCCGCTGTACCCGCCGGCCACCAGCAGCACGTTCCCGTTCATGACGGCCGCCACGTGGGAGTAGCGGCCCCCCACCGGAGCCACGGCCGGGCCCTTGCCCTCCGCCTCTGCAGGGAAGGAGGGAGAAGAGACCCACATGTGCAACCCATCACACGTTCCAGGCAAAGAGATCACATCAGTAAATTACATCTATTTACATATAAGAGGGGTGGAGGAAATTGTGCCCGTGACCCACGTAAGAAGCCCCCTCAAGTGGGGATTCCTGTTATGATGACTATTATTATTGCCAGAGGAACCCCACCCCGCCACCCCCCAAATCAATTTTCCCCCCACGTTTGGGGGTCTCTCTCTCTCTCTCTCTCTCACCGTGGTGGACGTGGGGCGCCAGGTCGTGCCCGGAGACCCACTGGTGGCAGCCGAGGTGGTAGAAGAAGACCTCATCCTCGTAGCACTTCTCCTCGTGGTAATGGATGTGCACGTTGCCGCCTGTGGGGAGGGACCGAGCAGAGAGTCCGACGTTCACCAAATGCAACACGGCGCATTTGGTGAACGTTGGGAATATCACCCATGTTTACTAAATGCATTCGATACATGATGATGGTGGGGGTT